TTTGTAAGTTTCAATATAACTTTTCGTGATACAAGTTAAGTCGGGCGACACAAAATAATGTGAACAATGTTTTACATTACTTTTCCGCGAGAGTTGCTTTGATTTCGCAAGCTTTTCGCACGAGTAGGTTTTCCGAACGGACCCCGAAAATGTGAGGTTGTTTGTCACAAACGAGCTTGATTATGATCGAATTCAAAATTGAATATTTACTTCGAATTGTGCTCATTAACAATGGGAAAACGTCATCAATAAATGAAGCACTGCAACAGACAACATTTCTTGAGCGGCGTTATTACGTCACTTTACCTACATTGGTGAGAAACTCTTCTTAAAAGCATGCACAGCCCTTTCACGCTGTCCCTCACACTCCTTTGTCGATAGTGGAGAGTGGGAGGTAACTGCAGTGCTTCCGTGAGTCAAGGGGGATTGGCTTTTTTAACTCGGAATTCTGCTTTACATTCGGCTAAATTTATCTCATCGAGATTAAAAGGATCACATTTCTGGTAAATCAATTCTGGACTTTTAGATTGATAGGCGTTTTAAAGAAGGACAAACTTTTTCTCCGAAACGACTTTGTTTAGATAAGAGATAGATAAGATAATTTATTTAATGTAAAAAATGCACAGAGGGTGGTCTCCCAATCCCCTGAGCCAGAGGCTCATGATAGAAGTCTTTGACAATATAAAAGAAAACTGTAATTGAAATAGCACCGATTAAATTAGAAATAATAGTTAAAAGTCTCCGGAAGGATAATGCATTAGATGCATTTTTTACAGCAGATGGTAACTGGTTCCAAATGAGTGAGATCATATATGCGTATGAGCCATGAAGGAATCTGCTATTATATGAAGTTTGTACTACGTTTAGACCACTACTTCTAAGATTATATGGTGTAACTCGGGGTTTAAATAAATCGGCTATATAGTCTGGACCATTCTCCCTAAAACATTTACAAAATATTATCAGATTGTTCAATACGTCTATGTTCCAAAGTAATCATGTTTACCATCTTAAGTGTTGATTCATAATCAGTACTCCCAAATTCGTTATAGTTTACATAGATTAGTTAGTGAATTTCCCGAAACCTTTTAAATGAATTCATTTTTATAAACCCTTAGTCAATCACAAATTACAAGTGAAAGAGACAACGTTGCCGTTGCGAAAAGCTAAAGGTTTTTCTTTTCTGGCGGTACAAACGTAGACTCCACACCAGTCTTAATTTGTCATAGGCGTCGCCTAATAATAATGATAACAATAATAATAATAATAATAATAAT